CGCCGGGCGCGTGTGCGTGCGTGCCCAAGATCCCGAGAGGAGAATGGAGGAGAAGGGATTGCGGCGTGACCATCCCCCCTGGGGGGTGATTTCTCGCTTTCTGTCTCTCTGTCTGTCGGGCGAGCGCACGCGCCCTACAGTGAAAACTCTCTCCAAAAAAAAAAAAACAACAAAAAAAAAACAAAAAAAAAAACCTTAAAGCCTGGAAACGGTTAATATTCTGTTCAAATAGTAGGTATATGAATCTTTTGACAGCTGAAGACAGGACAAAAACTCTTAAAACCAGACAACAAAGCCTGGAAGAAAAGCAGCAGTATTTTAGTCAAAAGTCAGAGAATGCTTTGGTCTGAGACTTTAACCATGGTCACCCATGTGGGAGTCCAGTGACATAACCACTATGCTTTCTGATGGCCTCTGATTTTTTTTCTTTGGAAAGTATAGCTATTTGTCCTCAATTTATGTTGTGGATACTTCAGTTTATTTTCATATCTCAATTATAAGGAAAACAGTATTCCTTTTTAATCTAAAAATATATATTTCTAAATGTTTAAGCTTTTTTCTAAAATGCATTTAATGACATTTAAAGGAAATTGCATATATTGACCTTAATGCCACTTAATCCCTTATTGTATATAATGATTCATTTTTAGTTTCAGTCTATACTGATATCACATTCCTTTCCTTATATGAATCATTAAAATTATTTTACTGAACCAAATTTAGGCAGAGTGTCTCATATGCTTGATTATTAGAATAATCAATAATGTATCATTTAATATAAAGAATATCCAGCTTAAAGTAATAGTTTCTATTTTATGAGATTTGCTACTGTATTATTTCAGAAATAAAAGTGAGTATGTATTTATAAAAGCAATTATCATATAGCCTATATATAGTTTTCTCTCATATTTGTAAGGCAGTTGGACAGCACAGAACTACAGCCAATTCTGGGGAATGACTTTAGAAGAAGGTTTCAAATTTCGTCTTGGCACCTTGCCACCTAGCTCCATGCTCCTAAGCATGAATGAAGTGACGGTAAGTGTTCTTTCTGATTTATGCACATGTATGTATTTGTATAGGTGTGTTCATGTGTGCATTTAAGGCAACTTTAAATAATGAAAATAATGAATTTTGTTCTTTCAGAGTCACAATTTTGTCTTATAAGTACTTAAATTTTTTCTCAAGGTGGTTGTTGCATTTCTGAAAAGTATCATATGGGCTTTTGGCTTAAAACTCACGCCGGGCACGTGTGCGTGCGTGCCCAAGATCCCGAGAGGAGAATGGAGGAGAAGGGATTGCGGCGTGACCATCCCCCCTGGGGGGTGATTTCTCGCTTTCTGTCTCTATGTCTCTCTCTGTCTGTCTGGCGAGCGCACGCGCCCTACAGTGAAAATCTCTCAAAAAAAAAAAAAAAAAAGTATCATATGGGCTTTGAAAGTTCATTGTTGTCTCCTTTAGAAAATGAGTTTTCGTTTACATTGCTAATGATTTTACAGAAATATGTTTTTGATTATTGGTTATTTAGTGAGTTAATGCTTCAGAAGTCATGGTCCTGATGTTTTTTGGTTGTTGTTAGTGGGTGCTTATACTTGTAAGAGAGACATAGAGACAGAGAGAGAAGAGAAAGCACATCTCCATGGTCACGATGTATTCCCTTCTCCATTTCTCCCTCCTTTTGGGATGAGGCACGTATGCACACACACCCAGCAGGTTTCTCAAGCCTCCTAGTACAAGAAAGGAATGGTGCAGCTGGACATATGGTATCCTGCTGCCTTAACCATCAGGCCATGGGGCTGGCCCTATTTTTATTTTTTAAGTAAATAGTTACTTTGAGAATTCATAAAAAATATTATAAAGATGAGCAAATTGAGATTGAGAGATGTTAAGTCACACTGAGATTGAGAGAGGTTTCTGTAGAATTAGTTAATTGCAGAACCAGTACATCAAAAAGTGTGACCCCCTACAACCCACCTAAAAGAACAGATGGGTTCCAGTAGAGTCAGTTTGTCTTGGTCAATCCAGGTTCAGAGTGGCAAAAAGCTTTTAAAAATCTTAATCAGAGTAAGTTTTATAAAACAATCAACTTAGATACATTTTGGGGTCTTTCTTCAAATTAATAAGTGGCAAATAAAGATGTGACTCACATTCATAATTTTTAGTGACGCAACTTCATGATCAACTGGAAAAAGTCCATTTTTCTCCCTAATAGTATTCTTTTTCATTTTTGTCCTCACTCAGTGGAAAAAAGAAATCAGTATTGGTTAAAAAAAGACAAGATAATCTTTTATAAGAATTGTTCTTTTACTTGCTGTTATTGAGGGCTGCAGCAAGCCAAACTCTTATTTAAGTGTCTATATGTATTTCCTGGGGGATTATCTTGAACATTTTATTTTTTAACTTTAAGTTTTACAACTTTAAATATCCCATTTTAGAGAAAATAAAATGTATTTTCCCCCACATTACCACTCACTATCACATACAAAAGGAAATCTAATTCTAAATCATCTATTGGCTCCTAGGGAGTTGTTTGCATAAAAGTTACTATGAAATTGAAATTAAAAATATTAATGATTAGTACTCTGGAAGAATTCAAATTACCTGGTACTATGAATTAATGCAATATAGTTATCAACCAATTCCAGGAAAGCAATAAGGAAAATCCAGCTAACCTGCAAGAGTTCCATTATTCACGATGTAAGGCAAGAAAATAGCTTTTTTATTTCTAGGGCACAGTAACATGAGGATTATATTCCTGAGTGTTGGAGTGGTCCTAATATCTGGTCGCATAGAAGAGAATCTGAAATTACTATAGGTGTGTCTAGGAAGGATGCAAAGTAAATATGAACTGAGTTGAATTGGTAGCTATAAGAAGAACAAAAAAAATTGGTTAACTGTTATGCCGATGACTAGAAAATAACCTATTCATGACATCAAACTGTTTTCAAGTAACATGAAAGTGAAGTGTGTTGTGTGTATGTGTGTGTGTGTGAGTGCTTCTAGATAACTAATTTTTATCCTACTTTTTCAGCTGTTTTTAAAAAAAGAGACACGTGTAATGCATGATGGAGCATAGATATAGTTAGGGCCAGGAGTTGCCAACATCGTGACTTCAGACATAAGACAAACCCCACTGCACCTTCACCTCCCGTCATCTCCCTTTCCTTGCCCACATTGCCTGGGTGAGAGTTGAGATCGGTGAAATGATTGTCCCTGGGTAAGAAAGATTAATCACGAGTCATCCCAGAATCCTGGGGAAGCTCTTTTCTTCCTTGACTGGTCTCCTGGCTTCATCCTTTAGTGCAAGTCAGTGTTCACTGAGCATGAGTTAGAGGAATATCAGTAGGTACTGTACAAGAAGCTCCATGATAATTTAGATGGTGAAAAACCTGTTTAACTAATATGAGTTTGTTCGATTCAAACAAGTTTTTGAAGATATGATTAGTAACAATGAGGAATAGAGATGTACCGATGGGACTTGAAAATCAGTAACTTGAGGATTTTGAGGGTGCACTTGCTGCACTTGCCTGATAGCAAGTCAAAAACAGACAAATGAAAAGACAAAAGGAAACATAAGCTTATTGTTTTTCCTGAGTACAAGCAGAATGAATCAGAGAAAGCAAAAATGAAAAACTGAGAGGAGCTCTTTCCAGGGCTTGGCGATTATCACAGGAGAGTACCCGCTGTTGATGGATACAGTTCTGAGGGTGTAAGGCTTGGCAAATGGAAGCTTCCTTTGGCAGAATTAGAACAAACAACTCCTCTGGATAGAAACAGTAATGTGCTAAGGCAGAGGGCTCGGCAAGCACAGCTGAGGATGGATTCTAGCCTCCTACGACTTATTGAACTGTAAGTGTCCCATCTATGATCAAATAAATTTGTGAAATGGCTCATTATCCTCATTTGGAATGGTTCACATATCACTAGTATATTGAAGGCACTGAAAACTCTTATTCTACTTACTACTTTTTTTCCACCCAGTTTTTTTTTTTTTTTCTTTTCTTTTTTGGTTTTGCTATAGGGCATGTGAGTTCACTGGAGAGAGGCAAAGAGAGGGAAGGTGAGAAATCAGCCCCTGAGGGGTGATGACCATGCTGTTCCCATCTCCTCTAGTCTCCTCTTTGGTCTTTGGGCATGCACACATTGGCGCCTGGTGTGTTTTTCAAGTGGCCAGGTATGAGAATCGAATTATGCTGTTGGCCATGTAGGATCCAGCACCTTATCCACAATAGCACCTGGTGGGCTCCACCCAGTGTTTCTTAAAATTCATGAGATCAAAGGGCATTTCACACTCTCTCTCTCTGTCTTTCTCTCTCTCTCAGTTTATAATGACTATAAATACTCCTGATGCTTAGGTTCCACAGAAAATATTTAGGAAATACTAGGTGAAGCTAAAATATTGAAATGAGAATACTGGAGAGAAGAGAAGTACATTACAGAGAAGATAGAACTTTCTCACACTGAGAAAGAAGAGAGTAGAGGCAACCAATTATGACTGTATGCTAAGCTGGCATTGACTGAGCTTGTTTTTAGTCAGCAGAAACATCACAGTTGAAGTCACATTAAAAGACATGTATAGGCCAGTGTGTTCACACATGTGGTAACATTCTATACATCAAGATGGGCATGAACTCTACAGCCAGTGGTGCTTGGGTTTCAATGGGGCTCTTCTTTTTATTGCCTGCCTCTTTGGTAAAATTAGGTAGTAACTATTATGTCTAGCTCATAGGGTTGTATGAGTTCCTTGAAATTCTGGATGAGAAATGCTTAGTACAGTACTTAGTATATATTATAGTAAAGCATTAAAGTAATGTCACAGTATGATACATGAATACATGAATGTATAATACATTGTTTTTTTCCTGTATTAATGTTGGGGAAATAACAGGGTTCTGAAAGAGGTCAATTCTGTAAGAACTAAATTATCTAAATCTTTATAATTTGGAGTTTTTTATTTCATAAACAAGTGTAGCCTTAGATTTATTGGCCCTAATGGAATTGGCAGATTTCTAGTGAACCTGAAACATCTACTCTGTGCTTGTATCAAATAAAATTATAACAAATCAAATCAGTTCTGTACCTTATTGTTTTTCCAGACATAATATTCAAGTGCTTTTGAATTTGGGAGCTAGTTCCAAGAAGCTTCACCGTATTGTATCTTATTACAAATATTAAAAACATTTGAATGAAAAATACTGCTGTTACATAAGAATGTTTAAATTAAGAGTTTTTTTTTTTACATGTGGCTTTGTTCAAATTTCAAAATATTTTTATAATTATTAATGTTTATTTCCAGGATGAATAATTAGATTACTGAAGCTGTTATATTAGATTGTCAGTAAGTCATGACATATTTTTCTGTTTTTATTTGCAAGAATGCATCATGACTTTTCTGATGACCCAACAGATAACTATCACATCTAAGGTGTTTACAAACTATCAAAGTATTAAGAAGGTTTTATAACATTTAAAATACATAACATTTCGAAACTATAGCTGTACTGTTATATGGTATCAGATTCATAAAAGTAAAACTGTTCTAAAATGGTTTGAATCAACCTTGTAATTAACTGGTACAATATTCTTTTTCAGTTATCTTGCATAAACAAAGATCATTGGAATTACAGCTTGAGCGTCCTTTATCTGCAATGGTCGAGACCAGTAGTATTTCATATTTCAGGGTTTATTTTTGAAATTTGGAATTTTTGTGTATCTATAAGTGAAATATCTTAGAAATGGGATCCAAGTCTAAATACAAAATTCACTTACATTTCTTATACATCTTATACACACAGCCTACAGATAATAGTATGCAATATTTTGCATTGAGCTTTTTTTTTTCTTTCTTTTTTTTTTTTTTTACAACATGTAACCTTAGGTCAAGTGTAGAATTTTTTACTTGTGGAATCAAATGGAAAAATTTTCAGATGTTGTAGCATTTTACATTTTAGATTTTCAGACTAGCAATGTTCAACCTGTACTAACAAAAATAATGTCACGATTTTCCTATGGTGTGTTGGAAATTAAAGTAAAATAAT